GAGACAATTCCACATGCTGACAATCAAACAGCTGCTGGAAAACTTCACCAGAACGACTAGTTCACCTCGATAGGTCTGAAGGGTGCATTTCTTCACATTTTCCATCATTCTGAAACACCCCATGCACATTCTCGAAATGCGTGGAGACGGCTCTGCAGTCGTTACACATGGCAGGAATGAGAATACTTTTTATCTGGACGATCTGCTTTTATTAGCTCGGTCCAGATAGGAAGTAGTCGCACAGACCAAAACGCCAGTGTTACACCTGCTAAACCTGGGGTTTTCTATAAACTGGGAAAAAGTTCCGTTCGTCCGTCCCAGATGATTGTTTATCTGGAAGTGGAGCTAAACTCAACCACAATGAGAGCCCGTTTATCAGAGCTGAGAGCCGAAGCTCTGTCAGCTCAGCTCCGTCGTGTCAAACCCTGCAGCATAGTGACAGTTCTGCCTGTCATGCGACACCTGGGACGATGTCAGCGGCCCACATCGTAGTTCCGCTGGGCCTACTTCACATGAGATGCCTTCAGAGATGGTTTGCCCGCCCGCGCATAGATCCTGTGCACCAGAAGAGGCGTATCATCTTTGTGCCCCCCTCTGTGAGAACCGATATGAATCACTGGGAAACCTTTCATTCTGTCAGAGGGAGTTCCCATCAGCAGGCCTACGTCACACGTCTCAGTTTTCGCAAACGCGTTCCTGTCAAGCTGGGAGGAATGCGTCTGTCCCAAGCATTGGGAGCACAGTGGCTGGACCACATGTTGCTTCACATAAATGTGCTAGAATGTTTCACGGTCTGAAACGTGACTCAGCATTTTGCCCCTGCTGCGGGATCAGCATGTTCTGATCCACACAGACAACAAGGTGACGGCAGTTTACATAAACTGTCAGGGAGACGTGTGCTCAGCCCAACTTTTACACATCACGAAACAGCTGTTGTGTTGGGCACACAAAAACCTGCTCTCCTTCAGAGCAGTGTACATTCCCAGTGTCCTGAACAGGTGAGCGGATATCATGTCGAGGGGCAGTCCCCACCACAGAGACTGGAGCCTCCATCCCGAGCTGATTTCTACGATTTGGAGCAGGTTTGGTCGAGCAGCAGTGGATCTGTCCGCCACACGGGAGAACGCCCAGTGTCATATTTATGGTTCTCACTGAGCCCACGAGACGACCCACCGTTAGGAGTGGACGCCTTCGCTCACAGCCCGTGGCCAAAAATGTTCCTTTATGCGTTCCCTCCATTCCTGCTGATATCACGGACCCTGGACCAGGTCCGGGAGGAAGAACCATCAGTCATCCTCGTAGCTCCCGAACACATAAGCGCTCCGTCGTTCCTGAATCTGCAGCGACTGATATCGGGTCGGCCGTGGAAACTGCTGTGGGGGGCGCTCTCCTCCAGGCAGGAAGAGCAATCAGAAGTTACCCAGAAATAGGTCAGCATCTTTGGGTCTGTCCGCTGAACGGATCCGTTTAGAAAAGATGGGCCTCCCACAGGATGTGGTGCGTATGTTTCAGGGCGCACAAGCTGCTTCCACCACAACACTGTACACTAGGGCTTTAACAGACTACTCTAGTAATCTACACATCGATTCCTAGGACACCTATCGAGGTTTTTATTTTCACGTCGAGTATTAGTGGTGACGTCATTACACCACCGTTTGTCATCGCGTCACGTGTCACGTGATCCGCACCGGCGCGGGTTACAAAATGGATTCCTCCAAGAAGACAGATGGAGCAGAGCAGGCTCAGTCTTGGCAAACAGGTAGAAATGCATCAGTAGTATGGAAATATTTCACTAAAGATGAATCTTCTGGTTCAACTACCATAAGGAAACAGAAAATGAAACAACTTCCTGACTGGAACGCGTTGCGAACCGGTGTTACACCATATTTTGTGACCACCGTATATTGTGACCGTAGGGGGCGGTGTTGCATGCACTGTTGCAGGTCACAGAATATGGTGAAACACCGGGTCCAATCGACCGAACCAGAACCAGCTTCTTCTGACCTTGTTTCACAAACAAAAAGCAAAAAATATTAATCTCTAAACCTATAAAAACCTATAAACATATTAATCTCTAAAACTAAACCTAATGCGCACCACAGCTGGCGGTGGTGCATGGTGGTCGACCCCCCCACTGTTTTAAGTTTCGTTTTTGACGTGCTGCACGTTTTTTCACGTTTGCAGCTTAATAATAAAAACTAATAATTTAGTTTTTCCTGTGACTTATTTGCTGTATGATAAATGGTAGGAGTATATTATAAGCTCCCAATGTTTTGTTGGTCTTTTTTTTTGTAAATAATGACCTTTTTTTGCGGTTTTATTCATTTATTTATTTTTGTATCTTTAGATCCTATGATGTCATCAAGTACTCGAGTTCTACTCGAGTTTTATTATGTTAATGTCGAGTTTAAAAATTATGTAGTCGTTCAACCCCTACTGTACACATCAAGTGGACAGTTTTTCAGCGCTGGTGCGCAGAGAAAGGCGTGGAGGACATCTCATGTCCACTAAGTGGCGTGCTATCATTTCTACAGCAACTGATGGACAGAAATTTAGCGTTCAGCACAATTAAAATTTATGTTGCAGCTATTTCTTCCTGTCATGAGGTTTTTCGGTGACAGAACAGTTCTTAACCACCTGCTGATGAAGCGTTTTCTGAAAGGTGTACAGAGACACAGACCTATGTCACGTCCACTAGCTTCACAGTGAGACATAATGATGGTCCTGCACGCTCTGATCAAAGCTCCTTCTGAGCCTTTAGATCAGGTTTTACTTAAATTTCTGTCCTTTAAAACAGTCCTGCTGTTAGCTTTGACGTCGGCAAAGAGAATGAGTGATTATCTGTTCTCTCTGTTGCTCCCTCATGTCTCAGAATCCAAGCTGACGGCAGTTCAGCTGTACTGTGTTTTAACCCTGCTCTGAAAAGCATCACAAGCTCATTCAGATCGAGAGTAATAACCTTGGATGGGTTTTATCCTCCTCCTCATAATTCTGATGAGGAAGCAACATCTCACCTCCTTTTGTCCCATGCGCTTTTTTGTGTTACGTGGCGCACGCGGCCGCACTGCGTCGCTTACAGCGTCTGTTCATGCATTACAGGGACAGGTCTTCATGACGTCCTCTATCCACCCAGCACCTCTCACACTAGTTGTGTGAGGCTATTTCTGAAGCTTACAGTTCATCTGGTCTGGATCCTCTAGAGAATCTCAGCGCATTCCACCAGAGGGTTTTCATTCTCCATGGCTCTGCATGGAGGGATGACAGTGGAGTGTATGGTGTATTTGTATGGCGGCTGCCTGGTCATCGCCATGTTCAATTATTTGTTTTTATCTACATAATGTTTCTACTTTCTCCATGACCCATTCTGTTCTCGGGGTTCTGAGAGAATGATTATTATTTGTTTATTGGAGCCTCACTTTTGAGCTCACACTTGCCTGCATGCAGTTGCAGTGTGAGATATTTATTATTATCCACAAGTTCATGACTGCTGATTTTATTGTTATTAATCTGTTCATCCTGAGGAGCTGATGGCCTGCTCTGTTTATTGTTACACTGTTACAATTCATATCCTCTGTTGTTCCTATTCACAGCAGTAGGTCTGCTATCTCAGCCTTTTTCCTCACCAGAGATCTT